TTTTCACCGTCCAAAATGGAGTCCCAGCTGGATGCCCCCAAGCACCCTTGTTGGCCAAGGCCGTGTTGGCACCAGCGCTCCAACCATGGCAGGTCCAACACCCCTCTCGAGCTGGGTTGATGATGTCGGCTTTGACACGGCTGGACGATCGCCCATGGCTGTGGCACAAAAGGCAGTCAATGCCTACAGAGACATGCATCGCCGACTTGTTGAACTGGGCCTCAAAGTCAACCCACAGAAAACAGCATTCATAGCAACCGACCGCAGCACCGACAAAGCACTGCGTGAGCTCCTTCAGCCAGACGAGCCGCCTGTTGCGACGGTCATGAGGGACCTTGGAGTAGACCATCAAGGGGCCAGGCGACGAAGGATACCGGTGATGAAACACAGACTGGCCAAAGCCCACAAACGCAAGGTCAAGCTTCGCACTTTGCGAATTCCCACTCTGAAGATCCGACTCCGCCTTCATCGTGGAGGAGTACAACCCGCGGCACTATGGGGAGTTGAAGGCCAAGGCCTGGCCCCACGATACCGGCAGGCCTTGCGCCAAGCCATGGCCAAGCATCTTGGGCATCATACTGGCGGCCTGCTGGACAACACCTATGACCTCCATCAAAAGAAGTACATTGATCCAGCAGACCAGGTCATCATCCACCATATCAAGGCTATCCATAGCCTTATACAAGCCTGGCCCACTGAACAAATGGCAGCACTTGAGCAGGCCTGGGAGACCACATTTCACCAGCTGCACACCAAACAATACCCGTGGTACACAGTCCGTGGACCCATGGCAGCGGCCATCACCTACCTCAAGGAGTGGGGCTGGCAGGCCAACAACCTGAGGAGATGGACGAGGGCGGAGACGCCACTAATGCTTAGCAATGAAGTTGACATGCACCAGCCTTGGTGGAAGGTTGAGAAAATCCTCTTACTGGAAGCCAAAAACCAGCGCACCAACCGGCTCGCCAGCAGACCTTTCCACCACCACCTCATCACGGGCATTGACTGGCACACGTATCATGAAGTCAAGAAGACTCTACCAGCACAACACAGGCACCACCTCAACACATGGACCCAAGCAGCTGTCCAGTTTCGGGAGGCTACTAAGGTCAAGCAATGCCCAATATGCCAAGTAGAGGCCACGCCTAAGCACATCCTCTGGCTCTGCAAATGGCACAAATCCCAGAAGCATGAAGCCATGCCGCCAGAATGGATGGAACGGATCACATCCAAGGAAGAAGAACCTTTGTGGTCCACAGGCTGGGTTCCCTTGGAGCCCCAAGAGCATAAACACCAAGAACACCCGTACCAAGGACATGGATGTTGGGCAGACCTGGGGACGATAGCACCCACACCGTATAGCGGCTGGGCCTACACGCTCGATGCCACACCGTCCACCTATGATGACAGAACACAGCTCTGGGTGTTCGGGCTGTGCGCACACACCATGGCCCTCGGCCAACTCAAACGCTTGGGAGCGCTCACTGGAGTTCCCAAAGGCGATCAAACTAAAGCCAGGGCTTTGCTGGCAGGAGTGGTGGCCCTGGCCAAGCACACCACCACACCAGCTAAGGTGATAGTCCAGATCGCCACTGTGTGGGAAGCTTGGCACCAGCCCCGCAGCCGACCACCCTTCCAGGACATCCTAGAAGACATCACAGACCAGGACTACAGCCGCATCTCCGTGCTGTACATTCCAAGGCAAACTCGAACCCCAGACGCACCAGGCAATGAACCCCAGCTCCGAAAGCGCCAAAGGGATTCAGCACTGGCAGCATGGGAGCGTTCCAAGCAATTCCAGAACCCCAAACAAGATGAATGGCAGGAAATTCTCGATGCCGACCACCGACAAATATACCGCCATGCGATCCAACGGCTGGCCAAGATCTTCGACGACCCACAACATTACATACACCAGAAAGCTCCCAAGCACCAAGGCAAAAACACCAAGAACTTCAAGAGGGACTTGGTGAGGCAATGTGCCAACAAATGGACAGACAACCATCACAGATGGGAGCCCCACCGCAGCGGCTACCAGTGCACAGCGTGTGGAGCCAGAATGCACCAAGGCTTGACCAAAGACATTCTGGAAACCCGCCTCCAGGAAGACTGCCCGCAGGTCAAGCTAGCGGATGTCTACAGTCAGCCGGCCAAAGAAGAACCATTGACCAAGAAACCCACAAGGGCACAGCTCATCAAGGACCTCCTGCACAGACAACACCAGCAGCCACCAGCACCGGAGGAACACCAATATGCTGAAACCACTGGATACATCAAGTGCCTGAAATGCGGGGTCAACACCCACAAACGGGTCAACGAAGAGGCATTCCAGACATTCCTGGCTTCTCCATGCATCGATCGACCCTTTCCACAGCCAACACAAGCACACTCCAGTCACTCCCTCTGGCAGAAAGGAGAACGAGTCCGATGCATCCAATGTGGAGCAGCATGGAACCTGGATGCTGAGCAACGCATCATCACAAACCAGCAGCTCAGCAAGGTCTGCAAAGGAGCAAGTGCCAAGGGATCACCTCCGCTCAGTGACTTCTTCAAGACATCCTCACAGACGAAGAACCGCCAGTCGTCCCAGTCATGAGAGATCTGGGCATCGACCACCAGGCAGGCAGAGCCCGCAGGATCCCCATCGTGAAGCAACGCACGCAAAAGGCACACCAACGCCGACTCAAGCTCCGAAATCTGAAGATACCTGCATTACGAGTCAGACTCAGGTTGCACCGAGGAGGCATCCAACCAGTCGCAAATATGTTGAAAGTCAGGGCCTGACACCAAGGTACAGACAAAGCCCTCCGACAAGCCCCGATAGCCTGCAGAATGGGGTTGGAACGTCCAAGACCTTCTCCACTGGACCAGACCAGAGACAGAGCTCATGCTAGCCGCTGAAGCCCACATGAATGAACAATGGTGGCAGTTGGAACATTTGTTCTACAAGGAAGCGCAGCAGCAGCGTACCAATCGATTTGCACGATGTCCCAACCACCAACGCTTGCTCACAGGGCTGGACTTGCACACGTACAAGCAACTCAAGAACAAGCTAGCAAAGGCGGCATCTTCAAACCTGGGTTCAGGGAGCCCTTCACTTCAAAGATGCCACGGGCACCAAGCCACGCCCCATTTGTCAGGTTCCAGCTACACCGAAGCACGTGTTGTGGCTGTGCAAATGGCACCGCAACCAACAACACCAGCCCCGCCCACCTGAATGGTTGGAGCGCATCACCAGCCAAGAGAGGACGCCCTGTGGTCGAAAGGCTGGATACCTCTTGAACCACAAGACCACCTGCAACAGGTCCACCCATACCAAGGGTATATGGTGTGTGGAAAGAGCTCCAACCCATAGGCCCTGACCAGTATGCTGGCTTCGCCTTCACCTTGGACGCCACACCGTCCCACTATGACCACCGCAGCCAGATCTGGGTGTTTGGGCTTTGCCTCCACACCCAAACGATGGGACAACTGAAGCGACTCGGGGCTATCACAGGGGCTGCCAGCGGGCCACAATCCAAAGGACGAGCACTCTTTGCAGGCCTCGTGGCATTGGCAAAACACACAACCACCCCAGCCAAAAGTGATTGTGCAGCTCAGCACGGTCTGGGAAGCCTGGCAAAAACCGCCCCACAGGCACGCGTACCCGGATCTCCTGGCAGAGGTCACGGACCAAGACCGCCACCGCATAACCGTCCTCTACACCAGCCACAACACCAGGACCCCGAACGCCCCAGGCAATGAGCCTCAACTCAGAAGGCGCCAGAGAGATGCGGCACTGACTGCCTGGGAAAGGGCTGATGCTCTCCACGACCGAAGACAGACATCCTGGCAAGCTACACTGGACAAGGACCACAAAGCCATATACCTCCAGGCAGCTCAGCGACTCGAGAAGATTTACCAAGACAAACAACACTACCTGCACAACAAGGCAGACAGACGGCCAGGCAAGCACACCAAACAGAGAAAAAAGGATCTCATCCAACTTTGCACCAAGCCCTGGCAGGAGCCGCATCACCGATGGGCTCCACAACGAAGTGGGTATGCGTGCACCGCATGTGGCACGCGCATGCATCAGGGCCTCACAGCACAACAGCTTGAAGAACGATTGGCAGAAACATGCACCCAACAGCAAGCGGACCAAGCATGTCCCACACCAGGTCAGGAGGCCCCTCAGCCAACCAAGAAGCTCACCAGAGTACAGATCATCCGCAATATCCTCCAGGCTCAAGTCAACAAGGCACCAGACTCCGACCAGCACCACTTTGAGGAGACCAAGGGGTATCTCAAATGCACAAAATGTGGTACCAGCGTCCACAAAAGAGTCAACGAACAGGCCTTCAATGACTACATCCAAGGAACTTGCCTGGACTAAAATCAGCTGCACCCTCTGCGGCATGCAGCTACATCTGGACAGCAATCGACGAATCATCAGCTCCACCAACTTCCTCAAGGAATGCCGAGGAGCTGGAACCAAAGGATCAACACCGATCCACACTTTCTTCAAGCCCACCCCTCCTACTCCAGCTGCAGGGGTGCAAGCGGCAACACAACCAGAGTTTGCTACGCCACCGTCCACCACTGGACCCCGGCCGAAACGGCTACACTTCTCAACGCCTCTCACGGCCCGAGAAGACACAGAGGAACTGGTACAGGCCATGACACCCAGCCAGAACACCGGAAGCCAGCATTCTCGCAAAACGGCAGCGCTGCCAAAGACAGAGCCACCACAAGGCCATGCAGTTGATGCAGCGGAAAACCCCGAAAGAAGAAAGCCGCACGGACGATGAAATGATGCATGTGGACTACTTCTAGGTCTTCGACCTGATGGACCACACAGCAGCAGCCAAAATGGCTTTCGTTCTGCAGAGAGAAAGAGCCACTCCAGGAAAAAAATACATACATACATACATACATACATACATACCCAAGGAGGTATATTGACTAGCTGCTTCGCAGAACCTTTTCTTGTATATATATAGATGAAAGCCTATTCTGAGGTGACGGCAAGGTGGATGACGCCCCACTGGCTCGGCTTTTGCGGAAGCTTTTTCAAAAGCTGGGCAGTACCTATGTGACGCTTGGATGTGCAAAGCATCTCATGTTCGACACCTTAAGAAATGTGATTCAGTTTTTTTTGCACATCTTCCAAACGAGTGGTTGTATCTCCAAAGTCATTTCTCATGTTAATAACATATTGAGGCATATTGAAACCACAGCCGTAGACTATTATAGACTGGAATCATATCCCCGTCCGAGAAAAGCCTATAAAATGGGAGGCCCTAGGGCCCAAAATCAGGGGGTCATTCTATAGAGAGGTTTTTTTTGAGCCTGGACAGGCCCTACGCATTTTATAGAAAGGCAAAAGTAGAGGCATGATTGTTGAGATGTTGCTGCAAGACCCTGTCGTTTTATAGATGTACATTTGCATTTTTTTCCACTTGTTTTTTGGCTGATCACGAAAGGTAGCTTGAGCTACCTGAGTTCTCCTTGCTTTAGCAAAAATGTATTACAATCAGGAGTTGGGATTGTGCATTGAGTTTGGTCCGGTAAGAGTTGATTCTGTTCGTCGGGGGGGGGCCCCCCCCCTGGATCAAATCCCCCCTGCGCCGGTTCACGCCGTCATGGACTTCTACCAGGGTTACTTGTGATTGCCTGCTACCTTTCGTTCACCCCCTCCTCTCTCAAGTTGCATTCTATAGAGACTCACTTCGGACAGAAAAACATTTTTATAGAGGGGATGGTTTGGTAGAATATGACATAGTAAACATTAGTAAACATATGCCAACCAAGAAGCATTTGGCTCACCGGATGAGCGAGTTTCTCTATGGAATGGTCTGCCCAGCCCCAGGGTGTATGATTTTCAATCTCGACAACGTGCTCTCTATAAAATGATTTCCAGGGGTCGTGATGGAATCTATTGCTGCCTAGCTTGGCCTGGGCAGAACATTCTATAGAGGTCATTGCTTGAACACTGATTTCGGATGTTGTTTTATTTTTTCCTCCAAGACCCTCCCATTCTATATAGCACCCCTTTTGTGAGCACCAGGCATTCTATAGAGATTTTTCAGAGGCCCAGCGTTTTATATCTATAGAATCCCTTGTCCAAGCCCTCCTGGGTTATTCTTACCGGGATGGAATCATAGAATCAAGCCCAAGGTGAAGCCAACTCGATCAAGCACCAAATTTCCCGGTTATCCCCTTTGCAACTTGACCACTCATGCCAACACATTGATTTCACTTGCCACACCGTACTTACCACCAGTCTTCAGTAACTTACAGGTTCGCGAGCCTTTTTCCAATCCCTTCACCACCTACCCAGGTCCGAGACCAGAGGCGAGCCCGTCATTTCGCCGATCCAGGGTGATCCATAGAATTACAGACCTGTCTTCCCTTCTTTGTCCTTTGTTTCCAAGAGCGATGGCCTCCCCCTACTAGCGATGGCCGACAACCTAATAGCTCCACAGAGCTCGTATGGACTTACCAAGGAAGCTGGGGCAGTTCATCGCCTCGTCACCTACCTTATTCCCGGCGGCCTATGTCCGGGAGTTCCAGCAATGCTTGGACCGGACAGAGCCCACCAGCTTCCGGGCCATCCAGCGGACTGTGGAGAAGGCGGGATTAGAGGAAAAGGTCAACCGATGAGGATGGCGGGTTGAAACACGTTGAAACCTGTTGGGCCATGATGGGTCATGCTCGGAGGTTGAAATGAACATCGATGAAATATGTGTTTTTTCTCGAACTACATTGCGTTTTGACGGGCAGCGCTGCAGTGCCGCTATATTATAGACATCTAGAGACTCTACAGGTTTGTCATGGTTTGTCAAAGCAAATGAGGAACTTCTTCCGCCAATTCATCCGCGTTCCCGAACCGTACTATGTTGCTATGTCATTCACTTGTCATGGTTTGTCTTTATCGGGTATATATTTTTTTTGTTGTCCATGCCTTTGATTTTTTGGATGTATAATCATATATATATATATTATAATGTATGTATAGCCATTCCCGCAATCATACAAACAGTCACCCGTTCAGGGATCAAGGGAGGCACCAAGTTTGACCTACACACCGACCCAAGGGTAGAGACCCTTTGGATCACATTTGATCCATTTACCGAAACAACATGACCAACGCATACTGAACATATCTATTCTTTGATTCATAGTTTGTATCCTGTATGAAAATGAGATGATCCTGGGATATCCTGGGCCACTGATGTGGTTTCATTTACTTTTTACAACGGGAGCCGTTTGGCTTGGGGTCCTCCTATGTTGAAATCTGCTTCCCTTACTAGAGGAAGCATTGCCAGCAGATGAAGAGTTGACAAACTTCTGAACATGACCGGAATTCAGGAGGGAGCCTCCATCAACCTTCCATTCATATTAACTGGTTGGATGGTGGCTCCAAGAACAGGATCTCCAAAGCACTTCCATTCGTCCGAGGATTTGGGCCGTCCCATCTCCGAGATCTTCCAATCTTTCGAGGAGGAGCCCTTGGCATCGGCCTCAGTGGCGCAGGTGCACCAAGCCGTCCTGAAGACTGGAGAACGTGTGGCGGTGAAGGCCGGAGCTGCGGCCGGGTGGCGGTGCCGAGGGAGGAGGAGAAAGTAATGATCTCCAAAGGATTGATTGAACAAGTATGGTAGCTAGAATGGTTGCAGTTCAGAAACTCAATAGCAGTCTATTGGTACTTGAGGAGCAATTATGATTGATTGGTCACGGGCCAATATAGTAATGTAGTCAAAGTTTATGACTTTCATGCAGGTATATATAATGCTCTTACGATAAAGGTGCGGACAAAGATCCATCACTTGGGTTGGCCCTCCCTAGAGTAAACTCCTCCTCCCCGCCGAATGGGCATATACGTGCATGGCCTTGCGTGGGTTGGACCTGCTGTTGCCAGAGAAGGCCATGTTTGGGATGTGCCGGTACCAGTTTTGTCACAAATCATGCATTGTTTCATCAACTGTTTCATTTCTTCCTTAATTAGCCCCTTTGTTATTTTGTGGATCATATTTTTGGTGACAGGTAACAGCAAGGGGACAGCTGAAGTGAACGGCAAAGACGATGCATTCTGCCCTTGAATTGTAATTGTAACGCTGTTCACGTGCGACTGGCGAGTGACGTGGAAAGACCATGTGATATTACTACAGGGATTTGATTGGATTTGGTGTGATGGTTTGTTTGACTCTATTGTAGATTCGACTTGCTTGGGAATGGAAATCTTATATGTTTGCCTTGTTGATATGGACAAACAACGTCCATGGAACGAGATTGGAATCACATTTGTTGCTCTCCAAGAAATCAGGAGTCAAATGGGGGAGTTGGAAAAGACAATTCACATGGCTTTTTGGCAGGTACAGAAACCTGGAGTAGATCGAGTGCTCAAGGCAGACTTGGGTTTTCTTTTCATCGCTGCACGCACCTTAGAGTTTCTTAGTCCAGAGCTTGCTACTTGGCTTGTTTCAGAGCACCACTTTGTTCAGACTTTTTCGGACAGCTTCCTGAACGAACGGCTGTTCATTTTTGTTCCCCAATGTTATTGTTGTCCACCGCAAGGAAGCTCACCAGCAACAACCTGCCCAAGTCAGACGGTCATGTATCTCATCTCTTCTCATCAACCGCTAGCCTATTATGCATTTCTTCACGAGTGGCCGCTTTCATGAGTGGCCACTGAGTTGATGGCAAATACATATACACAAAATGGTTTCTTGTGAGATGCTTTTTCTATACTTCATTTTCTTGCTGTTGCTAGTCACGGATTGTTTTTCCCGAATGCGTAGCGAAGGGTTCCCGTTTATAGTTGGGGGTGTGGGGGTTGGACCTGTGTTTGCATGGCTTGCGTCGTGTCGTCGTCTCTCGTCGTCTCTCGTCGTCTGTCGTCGTCGTGTCGTCGTCGTCGCGTCTCAAATTTACTGCCATTGGGGGAAGCTTTTGCAAGTGACTTTTCATGGATGTGGTACGTGTCAGTTTCCGCCGCTATTCCATTGTGATTTGCATGAGAATGACATGTCGCGTGAGAGACGTGATGCATTTCGCTGCACAGGCACAGCGTTTTGTGAGATCCGCAGTGTGCTGCGCAGTTCCATTGGGATTAGCGTCTGGAAAGTCGTGTTTTTGGGGTGTTGGATGTGGCCGTGCCATTGGTATTTGCGTTTCAGGGTGTGGCATCGAAGCTCGGTTTTCGTGACAAGTCTCAGCTGAAATGCCGATTTTGGTGGATGGGAGTGTGCTCAGAACGGGTCGAAATCATTCCAAACATGTGGTGTGGTGCAGATTTTGTTGAAGCTTACATGAGACGGTATTGTCATTTTTCGTGGCAGGCGCAGGACTTTGTGCGGGTTTTGAGGTATGGAACTGCGATTTTCGTGGCCGCCGGTTGCGAGGTGTGACGGACATTTCGTGGCAGGCGCAGTACTTTGTGCGCGTTAGACGTGTGGACGCGGAAAGAGTGTCCTACAAGAGTGTCCCAGAAGAGTGTCCCACAAGAGTGTCCTACAAGAGTGTCCTACAAGAGTGTCACAAGAGTGTCCTACAAGAGTGTCCCACAAGAGTGTCCTACAAGAGTGTCCCACAAGAGTGTCCTACAAGAGTGTCCCACAAGAGTGTCCTACAAGAGTGTCCCACAAGAGTGTCC